AGTGTGTGTGTGTGTGTGTGTGTGTGTGTGTGTGTGTGTGTGTGAGTGTGTGTGTGGGGGGCGTGTGTGCGTGTGTGTGTGCGTGTGCGTGGGCGTGTGCGTGTGCGTGTGCGTGTGCGTGTGCGTGTGCGTGTGCGTGTGCGTGTGTGTGTGTGTGTGGGGGGGGAGGTTATGATATATTCATTCCACTCGCTCTAGACAGAGTTGAGAGTTGGCAGCAGCAATAGTTGAAGCAGAGAGTTATCTGAAACTAAGGACTGTGTAGCTATGGACATTATGGGTTCTATCTAGCTAAGCTTAGAAGTTTAAATTTGTGGTGAGGGTAACGTTTATGACAAAGCTGATAGGTGCATATAACAGTTGCATACAAGTAGTTTTACTTAAAAACCGAATCGCTGCGTAAGTACGGGCATTAAAACTCACTGAAAGTAAAATACATGGTGCCATTGTTGACTCAGCAACGACTTCTCGGCACCAGCTTCAGTTAGCCATGTAGCCAGTCTATATGAATTCAAAATAAAGTTGTACCGTAGATGCAATCTTTTGTTACATTTTGTTTATTAATATTAACTACACAACGTTTTGTTGATATGTAATCGTATTATACGAACTACCGGAAGTGCCGGATGTAGCAACCACCATGGAGATCTACGCACCCCTCTTTTATTACTGTTATACTCGTTATCGAAGAACTTACAATTCCGCAATAGCACGCATGAAATTCAGTCTGTGAAACGAGACATTCGACAATAATTTATTTTATAGCATTGTCCGTGTCAGGTGGTAGGATTCTCGCGATATCTCATGATTCAACTCGATCAAAAGGAGATGACTATTGTCGCAGTGTTCGTCTGAGTGACATCATCAGCGATACGAATATCAAAAACCTCGAAAGCATTATTTTAATGATTGAGTCATCATCTGTCATCTTATCGCCTGCGATCATGTGCGTGCATGATGCAGACATTCTTCGTGTAGATAATATCACGGACACTTGGACTGTTTATATAATAAAATAATAGTAAATAAACATGGATTGTATTTACTGCCAGGTCTTAATGTTTATCTATTCTTTTTTGCCTATTATTATTGCTAATTCTCTCTAAATGTTATTCAAATGCTCCTCTGCAACACACAATGTCACCGCCCGAATGTCACTGTGCATAAGCTCATAGAAAGAGAGTTTTTCCATCTTTCTGTGAGTTTGTGCTGTGACGTGCGAGCGGTGACATTGCGTGTTGCAGAGGCGCATTTTGAGCAGCATTTACCTGGAATTATTAGCCGACGGGGACTACACAAACGACCATACTTTTGTAGTAAATACAATTTGTGTTCATTCACCGCCATTTCATTATTGAAACGGCCTAAGTGCCCGTGGATGGCATCTTGTTCGTGGGTCGTTGAGAGCTGGTTTATCGCATCGTGCGTGCGTGCTAGATGTGTTACTGAAGCTCGCAGCGCGCGCACCCATGCAGCCGGATGCAGGATCTCGTTAACCTTTTAGAGTACGACATGTGGCGAGCATTATGTGTGGGAGAGAGGAAGGAGGAAAAGCAGAGGAGACAGAAAGGGAAGGGTAGCCAAAAATAGAAAGAATGAAAGAGAGAAGGCAATAGAGTGAGATGGGGGTTGGAGAGAGAGAAAGAGAGAATCAGAATAAGACAGAAAGAGAAAGAGAAAGAGAAAGAGACAAAAAGAGAAAGAGACAAAAAGAGAAAGAGAGAGAGAGGGGGAAAGGAAGCCAGGGCGAGAGAGATGAAGGGGTGTGAATGAAAGAAAGTTAGAGAGCACGCAAGGGAGGGGTGGGAGAGAGAAAGAACGAGAGAGAGTAGGAGAGAGAGAACAAAAGAGAGAGAGAAATTGAGAGAAAATGTGTGATAGAGCGAGAGAGAGAGAGAAAATGTGTGATAGAGCGAGAGAGAGAGAGAGAAAATGTGTGATAGAGCGAGAGAGAGAGAGAGAGAAAGAAATACGCACGCGCGCGCACACACACACACGCACGCGCGCACGCACACACGCACGGACACACACACCACACACACACACACACACCATACACACACACACCACAACACACACACACACAACACACATCACCCACACATCCCGAGCACACACCACACCACACACAGACACACACACACACACACACACACACCGACACACACACACACACACACACAAAAGAAAGAGAGAGACGCGCAGTTCTTCCCCCCCCCCACCCAGAGAAATGTGGATACTGTTAGCAATGGTTAATCCAGGGTCCTGTGCCCAGAATACACGCACGCCTGCACGCGCGCGCGCACACACCCACACCACACAGCACACACAACACACAACATCACAACACAACACACAACACTATCCCACACACACACACACACCTCACGAAACCACGACGCGCTACGCACCACGGCGCACACGCAACACGCACAAAGGCCCAGCACACACACGCATCCACGCACAACACAGCTCACGCCGGCACGTCCACGCGCACACACACAACACACACACACACACACAACACACACACACAGCACACACCACACGCACCAACGCACAGCACAACACACACATAATATTATAATAATATATAATTAATATCATAATATATATATATATATATATATCACGAAAGAGATACAGATAGATGCCGTTCGGCGAATCGTGTCTGCTCGCCGTTGTTATGGCAACGAAATGCTAAAACGTATATAAGCTAACCGAGTAGATCGACGCAATTTTATGTTCAAAACGAAAACGCGTTTATTGTCGCGCAGAGCCAGTTGCTTTTTTCTCGTATTTTTCACAGCAGATAATTGCCTTATGGCATGCACGCATATGGTTCGACGTGGGAAGAGCTGTTCAACCCCGAATGTTATCATTGTTATTTATTTAATATAATTGGAAAAATATTTAACGATGATTTGCTAAAACCAACCATAGGTTTTCGTTGTCTCAGAAAACAGTAGTTATTAGGGTGTTGCCTTTCCTGTTGCGAGTTTCCCGCAGCCATTATTTCCATATATTGTTACAAAGACGAGTCACCCGCAGGAATATGCCTTTTGGTGTTCCATTATCTCCTGCATCTGTCACAGCCCGTGCACGCACATGACTTTCTGTGTAAACCACTACAGCGCACGCACGCCAATAAACGCGCGCGCACACACACACACACGCACACACACACACGTACACACACGCACACAACACACCCAACACGCACACAAGCACATTAACAACCACCCACACACACCACACACCACACACACACACACACACACAATCACACACCGACACACACCACACACACACGCACACACACATACACACGACCACACATTCACACTACACACACACTAAGACACCACGACACCACACACAACACACACACACACAGACACACACAGCACACACACCACACACCGCACAGCGTCGCACAACAACACGCGCAGCACAAACCACCACCACACGACGCACAACCTCACACACACATCCACACGCACACAACACCACGCACACAAACACACGACACACACACACACACACACACACACATACACGCGCACCACACACACACATCACACACGACGACGACGACACACACACGATTCACACACACACCACACACGCACACACACACACACACCACAGCACACACAGCACACACATCACAATCACCGCGCGCACACACTACACACACAACACACACACCACACACACACACACACACACACATACACGCACACGAACGCACACAGAGAGCGAAGGACGACGCCGGAAATAATATGGTGAGAGATTAAGGGAGAGAAGGAGAGAGAGAGAGAGAGAGAGAGAGAGAGAGAGAGAGAGAGAGAGAGATCGCAGATTGAGAGCTGGCACACCAATAACCGCTACTGCTTGCTGACAGCACATATATATATTTATTACACACAGCCATATATTTGTTTAGCTGCAATTAGACAAACATTAATAAATCATTATTCACACAACGGCGACAGCAGCTATAAAGCTATATAGTTACCAGAATAATGCTGAAATATTTTTACGTAGCGGTTTTTTTTCTGGTATAGCAATTTCAGTTTTGCGTCCATTCCTGCTGCTTCGTTCCTATTTCCTAGTGTTGCCGTTTATTTTCATTTGCCTGCACGCGAGGTAACAGTAGATGTTTATCACAATGGTGCATTGTGACTTGTTAGCTACATGTGTTCTATAGCAACTGCAGAAGTAAACGACGCGCGAGCATGGCGTGATAAAGAGCAGTATAATCTCTGAGCAATGGATAAGTGATTGAAGCCAACAGAAGAAGTACTGGCCATGTAGGAAGTGAGGGGTAAATATTCTTTTACTTAAACGTATAGTTTTGCATAGCTTTTTTCTAAATTAGTTAGTTTCTCCAAAATTCGAACGTGATTCGCATTTATTACTATTAGAACGTTATCTTAGAGGCAATGCAAATTGCAAATTATACTTCATTTGCCTATTTTTATTATACAATTTTCTTCCATTTTCAGATGCATATGTAAACTATCATTATTGCATGCGATTGTTTCTCTATTCCAATATAATTATAATAATCGAACTAATATTCATACTAATAACACCAAATTCAGGTCTACACTAATAATTATTTTAATTAATTAATTAATTAATTATTCTTTTATTTTACATTCTGTCTAGATTGTGGCGAAGAGTACGAGAATATTCGAAACGTCATCGAATAATCATCCATTCACCTACCATAAGCGGTGTCCTGCCCGCAGGGAGGAATTGCCACGTAACCCGCAGCTATGTCAGTCGTTCCAGAAAAACCTCTGGCGATTGAAGCCTTCGCTGTGGGTCACTCGAACACCGCCGCCGACCCTGTAAGCAACCGCGCAGGCATAGTGCGCCTCCTAGCGGAGATCAGAGAAGATTTCCGCCAACTGCACAGCGAGGCAGAGAGCGTGGACAACGCCGACAATCGGATAACGAAACTTCTGGAGAGTTTCGAGCGAGCTCGACGCAGCTTCAGCGACAAAACCGAGAGCATATCAAGGATCCTCTCCAGTCAGGTGTCCGTGCTTCCGCCGCCACTTCCGGTCACGGCCCTCGTAAAATACCGAGCTCCTGAATATTTCCAATTCAAGACGCCGCGTGACGAGACAAGTGAGAAATCTTCCGCGACCGCTGATCGTGATGAAATAAAGGACAGTCCGTCTGCGCTGGTCGTTGATCGTCACGTTCTTCGTGATGCACAGATAGCAGGCAGTAGCGGACATAGAGAGGTAGTATTGCACAGATTCAACGTACAGTTGCCAACTATCAAGCGTCGGCAAAGATCGGCCGATGGCAACAACGATGCTCTTGTGTTAGTCCCAACCGCGTCGACCGACGCGTCACTCTCGTGCGACGAGCGTCCCAACACGCTGGTGGCGCCACCACACGGTGTTCTAAGAGATGCTGGTGGCGCCACCGGTAAGCAAGGAGGTATCACGCCGGCGTCGACGGAGCTGCTTCTAGACAGCAATCCACTGAAGAGACGGCTGGCCGTGTTGCACCCGCTCAAGGAGCGAGCGGAAACACGCGGGCTGTCGCCGATGCACGAGCACAGCGACGTCACTTCCGCCAAGCTCGACCTGCGGTCGTGGATCCACTTTAAGGTCGCCGCGAGAGGCGCTAACGTCGCGGGTCAGGCCGAAGCCCAGCTGCAGAGGGTAGCGGCGGCGGGTCAATCGGAGGGAAAGAGCGTCGCACGGCGGCGCGCAGCACCGACACCCGTATGCCCGCCCAACTCATGCATGTTGTCGCTGTCCGCCGCCAGCGAACCGCACACGCTCGTCATCCAAGATGGCCGCCTGTGTCAGACGAAGGAGTACGAGTCGTACCGAGAGACGCAGACGCGCTGGGACGCGATCGGCGTCGTGCTCTGCCAGCTGCAGCAGCTGCTCAGCGAGTACTCGGTGCCCATCGCACACGTATGCGGCGAGAGACTCACCCAGGCTGCCCTCGCGTGGGAAGCGTGCTCGGAGAAGAGGAGAATTCCCGCCGAGGAACTGCTGAGCGTCGTGAACAACGTCGACGACGTGCGGCAGCTCGTCGGCGATCGGCGACGACGCTACGTCGGCGTCGCCGGCCACGCTATGGCCGCCACGAAGCTGCAGGCGGCAGTGCGCTGCTTCCTCGCCAGACGGCGCTACGGGCGACATCGGCAGCAGCAGTGGGCGGCCTCGGTGATCGCTCTCTCGTGGATGACGTGCGTGAAGATGACGCGCATAAAGCAGCAACTGACGAGAGCGCGACGAGAGCAGGTCGACTTCTTTCGCCACCAGGCGGAGCTGCTGCGCGAGGCCTGGCCTCGTGTGGCGAGAGCCAAGAGGGTCATCATTCACATCCCGTCCATTGGTGCCCTGCAAGTAGGCGTGTCTCGCGCGCGCACACACATGTATACGCACACACACAAACACACACACACACACACACACACACAAACACAAACACATACACACAAACACACACACACACACACACACACA